CCCACCCATGAACCAAGTGACTTATGTGCCAGTGGAAGGCGACGCTCTGCAACATCCCATGGGCCTAGTGAGACCGGCCGAGGACTCATCGAGGGTGTGGGCACTGGACGACCCCGCCTTCGTGCGATACCTTGGCTTGGGTCCTCCGGTTGAAACGAAGTCCCTCGACGACAACTACGTTTTAACAGACCTCCTGCCCTCCTCCAGTGATCCCCCCTCTCTCTCGTCTGCTTTGCCTAGCATTTTTGATGACGATTTATCAACTGACTGCGTTCCCGTGATTCAAGAAAGTCAGGTTGATTTGTTTATTAATGGCATTGTTCAGGACCGTGCTACTTCAAACAGCGATGAACCGGTGCCACTTCCTCCTGAGGGCGGGGTTATCTCAGAAGGACATCCCCAGCAGGTTTCTACGGCGGTTTCCGGAGGATCAGCAAGGGAGGACAGACGCGCCGCGCCAAGCAGGAGGTCGCGGCCAGCCAGGAAATCCTCCGCCTCCTCGCCGTCTTCCAACTCCTCTTCTGCGGGCGCAGGCAGTGCCAGGTCACGACGCCGGAATAAGAAGTCGAAAGCCTACGAGCGGGAAGAGCCTTTCGCAAACATGAATGACGAGAAGAAGCGACTCAACGCTATTAACGCCAAGAAAAATCGTGATTTGAAGAAACTCCAATACGAACAGATGAAAAAGAACCTCGAGGATGCCATTAAGGAGAAGAATGCTTTGCTCGAAGACCTGAAGAGGATGAGGCAGCACGAGGAAAAGTTAAGAACTGAGCTCGAGAAAAAGGGGATTGAATTCCCATGTCTGTAATGAAACTGACTGTAGTTAAGTGGATAAGACATTTCTCTACTGGCTGTAAAAAGCATTTTAAGGTAGTAAACATTTCCATGCTTCTTTTCTTGTATGCGTCATGTCAATCTGTTACATGTTTATCGTTTAAAATTCATTGTACGCATATCACTGCAGTATGGAAACCATAATCTTAAGGTTGTACATATAAATGTCATACTTTCCTGCTTCATCTGTATTAAGATAAAAAGCTAATGTTTTTATATAATAATGTAAACAATATGTCATACC